TGATATGCACATCAGTGACACTTCCACATTTTGGGATTTCTGCATAGTTTTGTCTGTAGCATGTTGTTCTTCTTTTCATGTTAAATGCCTTATGAAAGTCACAAAGCAGACATCTAGCTGTAACAGTGGTTCTCAACTCTGCCTTATGGAAAGGAATGTCTCTTACGGAATCAAGTCTTGTGTCCCATATGAAAGGCTTCATGGCATTTTCAGATTTTCACAGTAACTGATCGCTTATCTAGACTCTTTCAGATAGGGATCTTTGACACCTTTAAAAAGCAGTTTCTGTGTGTTCCTCACTAAATTGCCTGCATGCAAATGGTTTGTTCATGTGCAGAGGCTGTCTGCATCATATGCACAGTGACTTCAATAAATCACATTTTAAGCATATACAAATGACTGCTTAAACACAATTTACCTCTCTGAGACAGTGATAGAATTTAACACTTAAACCAAAAGCTCAGCAAAAGTCTATAACTGGTAAGGCAGACAACATAGTGAATGTAAAAATGGTTTCAGGACAGGAAAGTACATTTTTACACCTTAAGTACATTTTACATCCAGGTTTTCTAGAGCCCAACAGCTATCAGAAAGTAGGACTTGGATTTTGGGGATGGAAAAGAAAAGGAGAGATGTTTAGGCTATCATGTAAGTTTAGTCTTGGGTATAAGGTGCTGGCAGCCAGTGAGGGCCCAAAGGTAAAATCAGAAGGGCAAGAGCAGTGGAATATGCAAAGAAAGGAGAGAGAAAGTGGGAGGAAGATAAGAGCAGGATAGTGAGGGAGGTTTGGAAAGATGATTTTGCTGTGGAAAAGGCCTTGGAAGGTGATAGTAGAAGTTTTAACATGGGAAAGCTGAAAATTCTGGTATGCATCCTGGAGAAAGAAAAATTTGTAATTTGATATGTCTCTCTCTAGAAAAAAAGACTTCTGAGACAATGGGTGTGTGGAGCTGAAATACTGAGGCAAGAGGGTGCTGAGATTCAAGCTTCTCATGCAGCAGAAGTGGATCCCTGGATCTGAGAAGGATTGTAGTTTTATTGAATGGCCTTAGTTTGGGGAAGGAACTGGATATTTTGGGAACTTGAGTTTCAGTGGAGAGCTTGAGACTGAATTAGAGCTTGGGGCATGAGATGAGAGGTTAATGGGACATGCCTGCAGTCATTCACACAGAATAAATGCTGGTCTCTCATAAACCTTTCTAGCAATATATGATTTTTCTTTCTTGGAAATACAAATCTCACAGCTCATCTTAACTAGCAAATCTTGCAATGTAGCTATTACATTAGCATATAATGCCTCTTGATGTGCGTATGGGAGATAGCTGGCATTTATACAAGAGGTTTGGGATGATACCTCATTTGTCAAAGCGTGAAAGCAACATAAAAACACCTGTATACTTGAAAATTATAGAATACTTGGAAATTTTGCTCTTTTCTCCATGCTGTCATCAAGTCTGCAGGTGACAACAAATTGGTAGACTCAGTGGTGGGGCTGCTATTCAGAGAGAACAAGAAGTTGGAGAAATGCAGAACAACTAACAGTTCTTTTGATCCGTGACCTAGAGGAAGCAACAGAATACATTTTCATCAGGCCTGCAGAGAACAGCAAAGTTAAGGACAGGTTGATAAGACTCAGCACAGGGCTTCCATTCAGAGATACCTTGACAAGCTGTAGAAATGTTCTGGAAGAACTCTAAAATTCAACAAGGACAAATGCTGAGACCTGCACCTGGGAAGGAAGAGCCGTTGGCAATGAGATAGGTTGGGCACTGAAAGCCTGGGAACAGATCTCTGGAAAGAGCCTGGGCATCCTGATGGAGCGCAAGCTGTGGGTGAGCTGGAAGTGTGCCCTGGCAGTGAAAAATGCCAGCAGCATCCTGGGCTTTGTGAACAGGAGTATGATGTATGAAAACCTGCAGGTGAAGCTTTTATCTCCTACTGCTCAACACACCACATCTAAAATCCTGCAGTTTTGCCTTCCTCCCTTGTACAGGGAAGACAGAAGTAGACTGGAGCAGGTTTATCAGAGCGCTCAGGTTTCGCTCGGATGCTCAGAGGCCTGGAGAACCTGACCTGGAAGGAGAGGCTGAGAGAACTGGCTTCTTCAGTCAGGGAAAGGGTAGGCTTTGGGGAAGATCTCCTGTCAACCTTGTCATACCTATAAGGAGACCACCAAGAGGACAGACCACCTGTTCACAGTGGTGCGTGGCAAGAGGATGAACATTAAGGCGTATGGAAAGTTCAGATTGCAAGTAAGGAAAACACTTCCACTGTGAGGACAGTCAGGTGGTGGAGGAGGTGTACACAGAGGCATTATGCATATCCATAATGCATAATATTCACTGTAACATGCTGTAAATTAGCTATTGCCATTTAAAAAAAAAGATATTTGGATAATACTGGGGTTAATTTTTTGAAAACATTTCATGCACAGCCACAGTAAAAAGGTGAGCAGGAATCATAACAAAATGTTATGTCGTTGTCTAGATTTGTGGCGATCCCACTACTCAAATTTAGCATACAAATTTTAGATTACATCATCTCAGAGAAAAATAAAGGAGGGTAAAGCATAATGTGGAAAGGATAGTGTGAAGTTTTGAAACTTTTTCCATACAAAGGAAATTCAAAAGTTCTTTTGTTTGGAAAGCATATTAGAGAAAACAGATACAAGAGATCTGTAAAATTATGAATGGCATAAAGATGTTGTAGGAAAGATTATTCACTGTCTCTCAGAGGTATTCTTGCATTAGCAATTATATCAGCTATAACAGAGCACAAAAATTGATGCTGTGAGGTCAGATGTCCACATTTGCATGTGTGGCAACTTGCAGTCCCAAGGGCTAAATGCCCATTAGTGGTTGAAGCATATTACTGGAACACTTCTGAGCTCTTAGAGCTCATCTTCTTTTTCTAGTTTTACCTGAAAGGAAAACAATTTATTTACTCCAAAACTACTCCTCCAAGGCACACAAAGTGCAGTAAATGGAGTCAATGTGAGATCAGATTCAGAAGCATGCAGAGACACATGCAATGCTGTTTTAACACATTGTTCTGGAAGCAGCTTCCAAAGATCTAGCACACTAAGCTGCCAGGTGCTGCAAGGGCACACATGGGAAGGTCTCAGTCTGTACTGGCATTTTTTCTCACAGTCTTTCAATAGCTCTTTTTATCCACTGCAGAAAGAAGAGACTCTGCCAAAATTATGTACTTTGGTATATCTGAAAACCTCAGAACACTTGTTCATACATAATTTAATTTTACATGAGAACTTATAAGGTAAATTGTTATTGTAGCTTGCATATTATTCATTTGGGGACATTTTTAGAGTAAAATTTTCTATCTGATACCTTCTGTTTTCAAGTTTAAAAAAATTAGGTCAATTTATAAAATTGGGGAATATATTGATATTTTTGTAGTTTTGTGTTTTGCTAGTACTTCAGCAGAAGGTTGCAAAGTGCAACAGTTGTGCCTACTGAAAATCCTTTTTGGTTTGCACACTTTGGTGCATATAAAAGTGTGATTTGCACACAACATTGTTTTTATTATCTAGTAACAGATTCCCACTAACAGTCTGCCAGACTCTACCAGCACTGTCCATGCATATTCATGTGATTTGAGCAGAGGTTCTTGTTCAGAGTGTAGCAACACAGGCATGTGCAAGAAAGTTAAATAAAATACTTTTTTTCATGTACCTTTTTTAATGCACATGCTTGTGCATTAATTATTTGGGGACTGTATTATTTGGAGATTGGAATAATGTATAATAGGGGTTTTTTTTAATAAGTAGAAAATTACATTAGAAGGTGTTTGATGCTCCCTCAGGTCTTCTGTTGCATAATTCAAACCCTTTACTCCATGCTGCTGTTCAGTTTTTGAGGAACTATACAGCTCTCAGCTTTTATCTGCAGATGGTTAAGAAATGTGGTTTACTTCCACTCTAGCTGGAGATACAGACGGTATTTTTCTTCTCAGAATTTATTGAAGAATACAGAATGCATCATAAAAATTGCTTCATTACGTGAAAACAGAGCAAAAATCCAGAGTACAACTGTGCTTTATCAGAACAAGACAGATTTTGCCTTTGCACCACAGCTCCCAGGCTCTTTTTTGTGCCACAGCCTACTGTTTGAAACAGCTGCACAGACTCTTCTCTAACCTCATGTCTTGACGTAGGGAAGAAGTATGCTTCTACAGTACCTCTCTTGCTACATGGAGAAGTCTGGGGGACAATGAAGAGGATAGACTTGGCAGGACCCAGGCCATCATGGGGACACAGGATTTTTACTTCCACTTGACTTGTTTGCATCTGCCTATATATTTTTAAGGTGTTACCAGCATACAAACAGTGATTTAAAAATTAAATTTTGACCTGGTATGCATTATATTAAATATAATGAACATCATATTAAAGCAAGCACAATTTATTTAGAAGGTTTATTTATTTTAATTTATCTTTGAAAAAGAATCTCAGATTCTAGTAAAAAGGAATTCAAATGTGTATCAGCTGTTGAACTATGTATGTACAGATCTAGATATTTTTGATTACTGTGGAATTCAGATGAGTAGACTTGGGGAACACAGTTTAATTAACTACTGAAGAGATTCATTACAGCATATGGAGCCTTTCAGTTCTAGATCACTGAGTCAAACTCAGTGAAAGAAGGCACCAAAACAGAGGTGTTCATAGATCTGGATAACATAAGCAGATATCATTACTTTATTTTGATAGAGAATTCCAAATCCAAACAAACAAATGTATTGTTTTCTAGACATGGAACACAGAGTTAGTTTTTAAGGAACCCAGTATTACTTTTTAAATCTTACAAAATCAATTCCAAAGATAGCTTCTTGTCCGACAAAGTGATGAAACTTAGCAGTGAGGTGTGAGATTTCCTGCTTCTATTTGTCTTTTTGATAACTGGAGGAAGGGGTGTTAACTTTTTCTGCTAGTCAGTCTGGTTCCTTTTAGAAAGATTTTTATCTCCTAGTCTGTTTTTCAGCAGGTTTTCGAAGGCGCTCAAACACTGTAACAAGGAGGCATTTCCCACATGCTGCTCACAGGATGGACTACATGGACTTCGAGGATGATAGCCGTGGATGGCGGTTTGATATGGACATGGTGATCATCTACATTTATTCAGTCAACTGGATAATAGGATTTATTGTTTTCTGTTTCCTTTGTTATTTCTTTTTCCCTCTTTAGGCTGTAGAAATAACAGTTAAGGAAAATTATAGTCATGTGAACAGAAAAATTGTGAATAGAAAAATATTGAAAAAAGGTAAAATGTTTGATACTGAATTTTTATCATTCAGAATTGGAATAGACTGCATCAAGCATGCTGTGAAGCTGTTCTTCTATGTGTGACAAAGTACTTCAGTTTGGTTACAAATGTAATGTGAAATCCACATCATATTTCGTTCGGTGGGAGTTTTGCCTTTGGGAGATTTTGATGGGAAAAGAATTTACTCCTAATTTATAAAATGATTACTCTGTAGAAGTACTCCCAGTTTTTAGGGGAGGTGTACTACAAAAGAATGTAATCTGTAGAGTCATTTAGGGGTTTGACTCTGTGTTGACACACTTCACTCACTCATTGTTGCTTCAATTCCTCATACATAAAAGCAATAAAGATGCTTCCCATCTTTACTCAGATCTTTTGGGAGGAGGAAAAGTGCTGTACCATGCATTATATAGACATTAGTCAGAGCTATTTCAGTGCCATGATCCGAATCCTGGAAAAATTTGACAACCGATAGACCTGTCAGCATTCCACTGTGATATTTTGAGCCTATTAACCAAAAAGAAAAATTACACTGCAGTGTGCTGCCAGTTCATCTTTTCAGCAAATAGCAATCAAAAGGAATCAACTAACAGCCACAAGTTCTGCAAAATAAGAAGACCATTGTTGTGCAGATTCCCAGTCTAGCACTGTACCTTTTTTACCCATTCAGATGAGTGTGTTTGGATCCAGCAAGACTAACGGAGGGCAAGCAGCAGGCCTGCTGGCTATGATGCTGTGAGACATTGACCCAAATAAATACTGGAGACAGATGCATTCTTCTCTGTAAGAAATCAGTATCACTATTAAATTGCTGTAAAAATTGAGGATACTTTTAAATGTGGGCTCTCCAGGAGTTTATGTCTCATGTGAGAGTACATAAGAGGGCACAGTATTTATTTGCACCTTTCTTTTGAAGCTATTCTAAAGCACTTTATAGTTAGTTATTCTATGTATAGATTGATGAATTACAGTACCAAACTGCAGCCAGTTCAACAATCATTCCAGACTTGCTGCTTTACACAGTATTTTCAAATGAAAGTGGAAGAGCATCTATCAAATTATAGTAAAAGATACTAGAAATGAGTGTGAGAATCAGGTTCTGAAGAATGGCACAAGGTAGTTTAGGGCTTTACTTTTCAGGGAGGTACAAGGAAGTACAAGGACGTTTTTATTTCTAGTGGCATGACTGTTCAAAGTACACTGTACTTTCACTAAAAAAGCATGTGAGTGTAGGTATATTGTCCCTCTCATATCAGAATTTGTGTGGGAGACCTGTGGTTTTTCAGTGGGTGGTGTACTCCCCTGTTCTAGCAGAGAACAAGGAGAAATATGTTGTGGAAGGTGCCATCTGCCAAATGTGATAGAATGAAATCAGAGTTTTATTAAGCATGGTCTTATATTCCTTTACTGGAGCAGCTCCAGCATGGTCAGCCTCTTATAGGCTGGGAAGAGATCAGGACCAGAAATATTCACTTAATCTGAAAATCAGCAGTAAATCGACTACTAATATTTTATTTTCTAACGGGCTGCATAAAACAATCTTTTTGAGAACATATGAGTAGAATTAAAAATTACAAGTATAACTACACTGATTAAACTAAATAATCTGTCATCTTTTTTAATATATGCAAATTTAAAGAGATGTAAGGACTGAAATTCACCATCACCACATACTCGTGGCTTTGACAAAAAATACATTTTTGTATAAGAATAATCCACTCAGTTACTTTGTCTCTGCCTAAAAGTGACTGGCTGTATTATTAGTGCCACTAAGCATAATGTTTTAAAAGCTTTAAGGCTGTAATAAAACATTTGGTGGAAGTATTTTAAAAACTAGAGGGTATAAGTCATAGGCTCCTGTTTGGCTACATGCAGATGTGTGGGTGTGTATGCTAAAATATTATCAATAAATTTAAACAGTTCTCTCATATATGCCAGGACTGCCATTCTAACTGCAATTTTTGTTTGCCTCTGTAAATTTCTGAAATTACTGCTCATGTCAGAAAAGGGAGGGACCAACTCCCTGTTAACACAAAATTGCTTCTACCTTTCAATCTCAAAAAACCTAAAATAAAAAAATACATTAAGTGACATAGTCTAAAATCCCAGTAATAATGTTATTTAATTTTTTTTAACTAGTATATCTGGTAAAGCAATATCCTTCAGTAAATATTCAAAAATATATTGGGACTTAAGAAATGTAATATAGAAGCTAACTAGTTATATAAGAAAAAGTTACATCATTTTTAATATCATGTTACCATGGTTTTATTTGGAAAAGGACCACAAAGAAGAGTAAAAATACAATCTAATAGTGGCTTCTTTTGTACATTTTCAACAAGAATTGATGACTGACAGAGACATTTTTCTAAAGTTAGTAGGACTCACAATTTTGCAGGACATTCCTAGTTGTTTAACTCTACCTTTCTTCAAGGCCTAAACTGTTTCTTGAGCAATATTGTTTTATTTTATATGGATTATTATTAATTCCAGAGGGAGATTATTCTTAAATTATTAAAAATGTACATTATGAAGACTACTCCAGCTCTGAGAGATTGATCCTGATCCTCTGTAGGAAAATACCTAAGAGGTACAGAGTGGAGATGCACATTTTTTGTCGTATGTTGGGGTTTTTTGAGATACATACTTTTGTAAAAATGCAGAAACAGTTTAAAGGCTCAAATTTGGTTTTCCGTGAAGTCTGCTGCAAAATGCTGTTAATGTCTCTTGGAGCAAGAGCAGGTCCTTTGTAGGCTATTTACTGGTTAAATTGATCCTGATCAGCAAGCTTGTATTTCTTAACTACCATAGTATTAAAATGTTTACAATAAAATTTGAGTTGTTTTTAATATTTTGCAGTCATTTCTCTAGATTTTGCTTGGTGGAATTTTTTTTTCATTCATTGTATTCTGTGATATCTCTTTTGTTTCTGCTTGGGGAGGAGCAAAGGTTTGCTGATTTTTTCATTACTGGGATTAACTTTTTTCATATTAGCAGCCTTTTATTTGTTTCATTACTTTCCAGGCAGCTTTTGTCAGAAATCATCTGTGGGCATGGTCTGGATCTTAACATATTCTGATAATGAAGAATTCTCAGTACTGGTGCTGTTAGTCAAGACCATTTAGCTGTTGAAGACAGCAGAAATGCAAGACAAGACTTAGGTATCACTTTTACAGGCAAAGGACCTTCATGCCTACTCAGAAGTGTGTGAGCTTTTTTGTCAACCAGTGGGTATGTTTGTAGCTCAGCTACCTGCCAAAGGTTCAGTCATCTTGCTTCTCTCATGAGACAATTCTAAAAAAAAAATCCCAAAAAATAGCTGCTCAGGGAGAAGTTGCTGTGAAGCACAACAGAGTTTTTTATGTCTTGTGCCTGCCTACAGAAGCTCAGATCCAAGTTAAGCTTTTTCCAGTATTCTACATACACACCTCATGTTTTTATCACATGTCGACAGCCTCACTTAGTGATACTGAGATGGAAAAGAAGGAAGAATCAGAGTTTAGATGTGTTTTGTCATTTTCAGAGAAAATTATTGCTGATAACATGAAAGTCTGGGAGTAAGATTATCTATTGTAGCTATCATCTGACAAGTAACTGTCTTCATGGTATGTAGTTGCTTTTGTGGATGTGTTTTCAGCATCTTTTGTTCTTTGCAATCCTGACAACATTATTACTATGAGATGCACACTCTCCTCTGGGGAATTCCAGGTCACAGATGAACAGAAAAGAAAGATAGGACATCAAGAGCATCTGCTGGTGTTCAGCCCCATACCCAGGCAGAGGCTGTGAGGAAAGATGCTTCGGATTGCTCTGGATCTGGAGCAAGGCACTATGCTATCCTTAGAGATACCTTTTATTTAGCAGAAAGTTCTAAGGCAGACAGTAATAGTATAAGGACTTAAAGATCACAGTTTTCTGTCTCAAACAGTTACCACAGAAAGACTTTGCCATGAGATAAGCACAGAACGGAGTGACAGAATGGCCTAACTCCAAGCCTGCAAGGTCCAGCTAGCACATCCTGGGTAATCCAGACAAAAATTCACACTGTGACAAAGTGTGTAAAGAAGCTGCTGCTCATATGTTAATCCCTGGTCAAACAAAGATCCCAATCAGCAGGTTATGGGACAACTGGCATCTGCAAACACCAGACCCCACTGCCTATTCCCCCCCCCCCCCCCCCCCCCAAAATATGCCTCTGTGTATACCTGAAACTTGGGCTGTGAATTAAGACACCATGAGGAGTACATGAGACAAGACAGACATGTTGTCTGTTATCTCAGGTCTAAGGGAAGGTAAACAAAACTGGGGAAGAAGAATGCACCAGTGATAATGGCTGAATTTATGGGCCACAAGGAAAGCCAACTCACTAACTGTGCTGAAGTCAGCTCAGGCTACGTAAAAGATAATTCTGGCAGGCGGAGATTGCAGCCACCAACTCACAACCCAGAGGAAGACTGAGTATGGGACTAATTAGCATTAGAAGTGAGGGAATCCTTTAACCAATAGAATAAGAAAGCTGTGTAACCAATGACCATTAGTTCCTTTGCTTACAAAAATGTATAAATAGTGAAAAGCTTTGAATGTCTCAGAACCACTAGCACCGAGAACCCCTGGGTTAAGAAGGACCAAAGGGACACTTCTGGATCCATGGGTGGTGACTATCATCTGCTCTCTTCTTTCTCTCTTTCTTCTCACTTGCTCTCTCTCCCTCTCTCTTTTACTCATTTATTGTTAAATAAAATCCATTTGGCATATGGTCCCATTTGCACCTTAGTTCAGGCCAAGGCTTCTCTCAGTAATAGGATCCTTAACAAGCTGTGAGGTAGATTTAAAACTTGCTTGAAGAGCGAGCTCATAGTGCATTGATTAGTGGCACAAAATCTGCCTGGAGGCAAGTAGCTAGTGGTGTATCCCAGAGAACAAACTGGGGCCCTATCCTGTTAATCATCTTCATTAATGACCTGGATTCTGGGGCAGAGCATACCCTCAGCAAGCTGCAGAGGACAAAATAGGAAGAAATGGATAATACACCAGAGGCTTGTGCTGCTGTCCCATGGAACTTTGACTGGCTTCAGAAATGGACTGGCAGGAATATCATGCTGTTCAACAAGAGCAGTCTTGCAACTGGGAACAGCTCCCCCATGCTCAATACATGCAGGAGGTAACCCAGCTGGAAAGCAGCTCTACACGAGAAAACCTGGGAGTTCTGGTAGACTTCAAATTGAATATGAGCCAGCAGTGCATCCTTGTGTCAAGAAAGTGAATGGTGTCACCGAAGATGATCCTGCCACTCTGCTCAGCACTGATGAGGCCATCTTTGGGGGCCTGCGTCCAGTTCTGGGCTGCCCTGTACAAAAGGGATACATTTATTAGTGAGATGCCAGCAAAGGACCACTGAAATGATTAGGGGAATGAAGTCTCTCTCATGTGAGTAATTCTGTGAGGTCATCACACAAGAATTGACTGGTTGAGAACTAGAATAAGTGAATTTCTCAATAAGGGGTAAATAAAACAGAAATGTCTGAGGAGAATGTCATGTTTTCCCTTAATAACAAAAGGCAGTACAATGCTGGAAAAACTTGGCCCACATTTTTGTCCATTTCTGTACTTTTCTGTACATATCTGTCTAGAATTAATGACAATTTTCTTTTCTTTCACTGTTATCTTGATTCAATACAACCAGTCTCTCTTTGGTAACCAGTTCAATCTTTAAGCGGTTATTTTTCTTCCTACTGATTGAAATCTGTGGTTGTTGCAGTTCTCTGCAGTGCTCAGAAGAGTACTAAGGAAAGAATCACAGAAGGTTTAGTTATATTATTTCCATATTAGTCATCTTAGTATCAGAAATTGATATGCCAACTTTATACCTAAACTTATTGTTTAAATGTTAAAGTCTAACATCTAATTTTTTACAGGTAAGGGTTTGAATTAAAATTTCAAATTTTAATTGTACATCCTCATTTTGTTTGCCTCAAGTACCTCCTCATTTTGTTTGCCACAGTTTGTCATTCCCAGTATGAGACCTTCCTTCTAAAGTGACCTGTTGTAGAGTTGAAGATCACATTTCTCCAAAATGGGTTTTTTATGATTTCTTATGTTGGGATAAAAAACCTTAAACATATGTATTTATGATGGATATTAGCAGTGATCTAGATCCCAGCAGAATCAAACTAAACCTCCAGAGTCTTAAATGTATTAGGATTTCTTTGTTGCTGTGATATAATCCTGGAAAATAAATACTGTCTACATTAGCTTAATAAAATTACTTAGTTAAAAATAACTTAATAATAATCTATTTAATTTTACACCAAATATCTTTTTTGGTTGAAATATTTCTACATTTCTGATGAGGCTACTAAAATGTCCCACTAAAATGTAGACCTATTTGAAAGTACTTTCCACCATTACACTCTGGAAGTTTAATCATAAAATGTAATAATATATAATTGAGAACATTCAACTTTTCACTTGATCGTAATTTTTACAGGTTTTTTATTGTTAAAAAAAAAGTTCCTAAAAGAAGATTGAGGGTATGTATAATCCCATATTTTGGTTTTACTAAAATTTTTTTACAGACAAATCCTACATGACAAACTTCATCCCTGATGAACACTGCAGAAAATGTCCTGACTAAGCCGACAAATTTGATCAGAGGAATGCTTCTGGACAAGTCATTAGACTGACACTGAAAAAAAAAAAGCTCAGGGCTTGCTTCTCAAGGAAAGACTCTCATCAGGGCAGAGTTATCTAAGAGACCAAATGGATTTCCTTGTCCTTTGAATGCCGTGCAGGGCACTCTCTAGCCTCCCCTGACACTTTGGGGTCCTCAGTTGAATAGGTGTCCTATAACAAGTCCTCAGGAGTTATACAGGGCATCTGACAGCACACATTGATTTTCCTTTTCTGTTACATTAAAAATTCCCCAATATTCACAGGTTTCTTAAGGTATTTTGGTTCACCTATGACTGCTGGAATCTATCCAAAGAAGGCAAGATGATGTACTGTTATTTCTCATTGCTTACTGTCCTCTGGGGCTATTCTTCTATTTCAATCAGTTTGTTTTGCTAAGGCATGACATATCCCTCTCCCAAAATTCTGAATTTATAACCAGGTGGGAATCTTAAGCTGACTTACTCTACAACCTTTAATGAAAATTGTGGCATATATAAATGGGAGGAATATATATATGCATGGCAAAGAGGAACAAAACACTTTGTTGTACTAGATATAAATAAAACCTAAAGGTCTTTTCAAAGGAACTTCTGTGTCCCTATAAAAAAGATGCCAGCAGCCAGAGTATGGTTGGTTCTTGCAAGAAAACAACCATGAAGATGTAAAATAGCAGATAAGCAAAGGACAGCAAAGCAACTGCTTCCAGGGAGGTACTGAATATCAGTATATGGTAGCAGTGCCAGATACTGGATAACTGTCCTTCAGCCTGGCTTAGTAAACTCAAGATCAGTGTTAACAGCAAGAGATTATTTTACTGACCACTGCCTAGAAAACAACTGAGTGTTCCCTCAGTTCTGTTTGAGGCTGGTAGGAACAGAAGAGTGGCTTATGAACCTGTTTGCTTGTTGTGTCTGTGAAGATGAAATCCCTCGAGGTCTTTGCTCAGCTTGCCTAGACCTGATCTTCTTAAAGGCTCTTTACACATTGGTCCTTGGTCAGGAAAGTATGCTACTTCATTCAGGATTGTTCCTGATACATGGAAATGTTACTGAAAAGGCCCCACAGGACTGTTTGAAATTTAAAATTTATCTGTTAGCACTTCCTGTAATATTGTAGCACTTCCTGTAATGTAATAATACATTACAATATTCTGTAATATTGTACATTGCAGTGTAGTAGTCACTGTCCTGTGTGCACTTATCTAACTAGATTTTGAGTTTAAAAAAATATTCTGGAACTCAATACTACAGTTGCCTCTCTGGTACTCAACAGCAATGCTGCCTTCCCTCAGCCACATTTTTTATTGTCCACTCTACTTTACAATGTAACGAAAGACTCCTTCAGCTTCATGCCCTTGACATCTGAATACTAATTTACAACTTAAATAAATTCGCTCCCAGGATTTCTGGATTGATGTTATACAAGTGATACAAATCATTATGCTACTGTATTA